CACACACACACACACACACACACACACACACACACACACACACACACACACACACACACACACAGGTTAAAACGCATCAGTAGCTTCCCATCCGCATCCATTACTCTTCTGTAGAAACGAAAGATCTGAGGGTGTCTGATCTGAGGGCCTCTGCCTGTGACAGCACCCCCATCTTACACCATCCTCGCCTTTGCTCTCTCTGCTCCAGCCACAAAGACCTTGTCTTCCCCGCATTTGCCAGCCTCTTTCTCTTTGCAGAGCTGGGTTTCCCTGCCTTGAACCCCCTTCCTTCCCTTCCTTCACCTGGGCTGCTTCTACTCATCCTTCAGCTCCCGGCTTCAATGTTACGTCTCCAGAAAGCCTTCCCTTACTTCCCCGACCCCGGTCAAATTCAAACACCTCTGCACTGGTGGCCCTCCTAGCTCTGTGCGGCCCTTCTTCAACCCTAAGCCACAGCTGGAATTTTACATTTGTTTGTGGAGATGATTTGATTAATATCCGTCTCTAGCACTGTCAGCTCCATAAGGGTGATGACCCTTCCTGCTTTTGCTGACCGCTCTCTCCTCGGTGCCTAATGCCTGTCATGAAGAGATGCTTGATACATTTTTTTCTACATTCATGACAATGGATTCGTGCAGTCCTAACAGTGCACGGGCTCATGTGCACAAAGATGGGGCTCAGGCCAGGGGCTGAGCCACAGACCGCACTGATGTAACTGCCAGGCACTGCTCTGCGGGGAGCTGTCAGGCTGGGAGATCGATGGGGTTGGATATCAAGACGCCAAAGAGCCTCTCACACCCGCCCCAGCAGGCTGGGCTCCAGCACTGAGGATGGAGCATCAGACTCGATCAGCACGAGGGAGAGACAAGGGCAGTGGGGGGGCTGGAGCCTGCTGTGTCTCCCCTCCATCAATCTCCTGCCTGGAGCCCACGGAGCCAGGCCAGGCCGGAATGTGCTGAGGCAGCTTCTGCGCTCACCTGGACCAGCGAGGTACCATTTTGCGGCTATAAACAACCACAGCCTCACATATACACGGGAACATGGAGCCTTTAAGCACCAACTTTGCCCCAGGCGCTGGACATGCAGCTGGGGAACGTTTGCAAACATCACATCTTGTGAAACCACGAGTTGGAAGGGAACTTCATTTAACGCCATTTAATCCTACCCCAAAGCTTGAATCCCTCCTCTAATATCTCCGAGAGGTGCACTGGCTGTGCAGCCTCACCTCCAACATCCACGTGAACGGAGCCCACTGCCTCTCAGCAAGCGTGTGGTGCACAACAGATCCCTTAATCCACGCCTGCCCACCTTTCCAGGCACACACCCGCGTGCTACGCCGGCGCCTCGCACACCAGCGGGCTCACTCTCGCAGCCCCGCCCACGCGCACACAGGCCGCCTTTGATCTCCTTGCCTTAACTCCTGGCACGCATCAGTGGCTTCCTGTCTCACACGCGCAGAACTGTTGTCTCGGGGAACAGCACGAGCCTAGACCCGCGTGCCAGGAAAGAAAACCCCCGAGGTTTCTGCCCAGCTTTCCTAATGCAAATGACCACAAGAAGGACAGAACCTGTGTTTGCCCCCCGGCCATCGTCCGCTCTGCGCATATATATCTCTCTGTGTGTGGGTGTGTGCAGCGGGTTGCCTCCAAGAGGTGGGGGCCGAGAGGGGGGTGTTCGGACCTTGATGGCTCTTAAGCAGCTCCCAGGATGGGTTCTAGGGTACAACGTCAGGTAGATGTAGGGAATTTATGCCTTCTGACAAAGGGGGGCGTTTCTGGATCCTTGAGGGGAGTCCTTACATCATGTTCAGAAAAGCCACTTCTCTCCACAGTAGCTCTCCCCTTGAGTGGCATTTGCACCTGTGTTTCTCCCCACCCCTCCCCAGGGACAGAGGCCCTCACCCAACGCCCCGCTTTGTCCTGCCCTCCAAGAGCCAGGGCTTCTCCCCTTCCACGTTCTCTCAGCATCTCCCCCGGCCAGACAGGAGTTCCTCACTCCACAGCGGGTCCGTTGCCTCCTTCCCCCTCTGCCATCCACCTGGTCAACCCGTCACCATCTCCCTCGTCTCGGCACCTTCCCTTCCCCTTCCCTGGCTCCCCTGTCTTTCCGAGACCCCCGAAGAGTGGACTGAGGGGAATGGGAAGATGTGTGTGTGTGGGGTCTGTCTGTCCTCTGGCTTGCTTGGGGCGGGGGGGAGACGAGAGAGGGGAGGGGAGCTGGTCACTTGGGACCTCTCCTGGTGGAGGGTGGTGCAGGGGCAAGGGCTCCCCTCCTTGGTGTGTGTGCATAGAGGCCGCTGCCCAACTCCGGAGGATTTACTGGGAAAACGCACGCATCTGGGGACAAGATCCCCGATGGCGGCAGCAGAAGCCAGTTTCTGGGATGTGGCCCCATGGAAGAGACGGTGGGCCCCGAGCGGGGAGAAGCTCAGGCAGCTGGGCAGCAACACCAGGGGCAGGACGGGGAGGACCGGAGGCCGGGAAGTCCTCCTTCTTGGACCTGAGGGCCACAGACTCACCCCACGAAGTAGGAGATGATCAGCAGCTGAACGGCTCGGTTGATGATCCCGATGGTCCAGCTCTTCACAACCACCGACTTGGTGGTCTCGTAGGTGAAGAAATCCGAGATGCAGTTCATGCTGAGACAGTGACCCCTCAGAAGAGACCCGATGGTGGCCTCAAGGAGGAGAGGTCACAGGGATGGGGAGACAAGAGATGGAGGCCTGGAGGGGGCAGCTTAGAGGGTCTTGAGGAATGGGGAGCCTGTTCCTTTAAGTCAGGCAACCCTAGCCCAGGGCTCAGCCTTCCTCTGCTCTTGACACTCTGGGCTGCTAAGAGTCCAGGGCCAGGGTGGGGGACCCCCTTTTTGTTCGTCTCCACCCCACTCCCCTGTGATGTCATGGCAGGGGTGGGGTCTCCAATCCCAGGCTCCTGATTGCCCAGGATGCATCTGGCTAGGGCCCTCTGGGACTCATGTTTTATCTGCACTCCGTGAACCGTTTCTGTTCCATTCTCTTATGCTGCATCTTCAGCCTGGCTCACCAGCTGCTTCATGCTCTCCTGAAAGCCCCTTGCAATATCCCACCCCCCAGCCACCTAACAGCCTGCATTCCTGAGGGTCTTCCTAACGCTGCTCGATTCTACAGCCATCCTCTCCTTTCTCGAGTTGCCACTAATAGCATGGGTCATGGGGAGGGGGTCTCTTGGTCTCCTGGGAAGGGGTGATTAAAGAGTCCTACAGTTCCCATTTCCTACTCATGTTGGCAGTGGCTGAAACTCTACGTCTAATACAGCGTTATCATACTGGGTTTTTCTGGGCGTTTTGTTTTACTGTCAGTTTACTTATCTGAATCATTTGTTAGATTACGTGGTCCTGGAAGGCTGGTGCTGTTTCCATCTTGTTTATTAGTTTCCTCAAATCTTATCACTGCATCAGAGCTCAATACATATTTATTGAATCTTGTTGAATTTATGTTGCTAGATAGTGCGGTAACAGCCATTACCCAGAGGTTAAAGTTATGAGTTCAGGGAGCAACAGGGCATTCCCGTTGTCTCTTGTCCCAGGATCGAGTTAGCAAGCTGGTGTAACAGTAGGTCAGATTGTCAGAGAAATCTTGAGTTCAAATATTCTGTCCTGATGTCTTCATACACGACACATATTATCAGTCATTCTGAATGTAGGGTCACGGTGAGGACGACAGAGGAGAATTAGACTGGGGTAAGTAGATCTGGATTCTTAGTCTTCAGCTTTGTTGCCAACTGAGACCCTGGGCCGCTCCTCTTAGGGCCTCAGCTTTCCCATCTGCAAAAGGAGGTTGGAGCAGATGAACCCAAACATGTCTTCCAGGTCTGGCCTCCTCTGATTTTGCAAGTCGCACCCTAGCACTATATAAGGCGGGGCCTGGTTTCTGCAATCCCAGGCTGATGTGATTTCAGATCAGTTCCGGCTCCATGGTGAATCTGACACCTAACACTCTAACTTGATACTGCCGCTGGCCAGCCCCTTCCAAGCGACTCACAACTTGCAGTTACTGATGTGAAGTTTTTGGATGCAGTGAACTCATTTCAAAAAGGATCCAATCCCATGTGACAGGGGAGGGCAGTACAGTCACAGACACACCAACACCCGCATTCTCAGAGAAGGCAGTGGGAGGGGTCATTTCTCTCCACAACTCATGAAATATTTTCCTTTTGGTCCCACAGACTCCTTTCTACTCCACGAAACCACTATTGTGCAGGAGAGAGAGGACACACATCATTCCAACACGTACACACGCATTTGTGGAAAGTCTGATAAAATACAACTACACAACTTCTCTTTAAAACCTAGTCATCCCCTGAAGTGTCTGTAATTTTTAAAGAGCCCGACGCGCTCCCACTTTCTAGTCGGATGCCAAGCGGGTGAGACTTCAGCGCACCCCTCTTCCCTCAGGTCCTCCAGCGCCGACGACGCTCTATGTGACCGCCGCTAAGGCGGGCCGGGCTCGCATCTCTCTAGCCAGCTCGTCTGCTCTATGGTCTGCGCCGGGCTTCCGGTGGCGGGACGCTGGGCCGCGCACGCGGGAAAAGCCTCCCCAGCGTCCCCCCCATCCCCCGCGTCCCCACCCCCGCTCTGCGTCCCCCAGCGCGCCCACTGCCCGTACCCGGGCCGTCGCGAGGCGACAGCTTGAGAAGGTGGGTGGTCGCCGTCCCCGTTCCCCAGGAGGGCGCGGGCCCTGCTCCCCCGCGGGATGCGCGTGATGGACCATTCCGCGTTGGAATCCGCGGGCGGCGGGCGAATCCATTTTAGGGGGAGGGGAGAACTGTGGGTCCGGGACCGCGTCGCGGCGGGGGCTCTGGGAGGGAAACCCTGCACTCTGAGCTGGGTTGGGGCGCGGGCGAGGTGCTGCCTCCCGGGCAGGTCCTGGGGCTCCGCTGCTTGTTGCCATGGCGCCCGGTGGAGTGCCCAGAGTGGGTGTCTGGTTGGGATGTAAGCGCTACTTCAGGCAGGCCTGGTTTTTCAGCCCGGGCTGGGCCTGGCCCCTGGAGTTCGGCAGAGTCGGCCTGTAGGTTCCCAGGCAGAGGAGATCTTGAGACATCCCAGGCACAGCAAGGGTTGCCACTTGGCTCCATCCGTAGGCAGAATGAGGTGTTGTCCTTTGTACTTATTTATCTCCCTCTCTCGAATTCAGATTCCCAGTCTGCCGTGTATCTGTACACTTAACAGCGGCAGGTCAGCATGGCAGAAACACTGGAGTTCAACGACGTGTATCAGGAGGTGAAAGGCTCCATGGTAAGAAGGGTTTGGGTTTTTAATACAGGTGGAGGGAGGGAGGTGGAGTAGACGTTTTGTTTACTAACAAGAGCTTGTCTTGATGAGGTAGCAGTATCATCAATGTAGCGACTTTGGAAAGGAGTCAGAGTATGATATGTACTTGGTGTTTCCTCAACAAGAAGCAATCCTGAGAGAGTATAAAAATTATACAGTGTTAGAATCTGAAGGGACCACACCTGCTGCTCAGCCCTGAATCCGAAACTGAGGACCTGCAAGGGTTCTGGATCAGGGCCAGGATTAGAATCCACATTTTCTGGCTGCTTGTCTCCTATTGGCCCTCACCCCTTCAGCTGTTGTTCCTGCGTTGCTATCTGGCCAGCCCAGAAGGGGTGCTGGGTGGGACTGACCCTGGTCTGCATTGTGTGCTGTTCCCGTGCATTTGGACCTGTTTTTCCAACAGAATGATGGTCGGCTGAGGTTGAGCCGCCAGGGCATCATCTTCAAGAATAGTAAGACCGGCAAAGTGGACAACATCCAGGCTGGGGAGTTGACGGAAGGTATCTGGCGCCGAGTAGCTCTGGGCCACGGACTTAAACTGCTCACGAAGAACGGACATGTCTATAAGTACGACGGCTTCCGGGAGTCGGTGAGGTGTCCTGTTGCCATAGCCCCCTTTTTACTGTGCCGTCTTCTTGATTCTTAACCTTCTAGAGAGAAGTGGGGCTCCTTTTTCTGATAACCATGTAAATGCTAGTATGGGTTCCTTAGTGCAGGACCATTGAAGCTATTAAGCAATCAGTGTTCAGCTTTGGGTGTCAGTCTTGGGAGTTTCTTTGTGCCTTGACTCCGGAAGTGTTTCTACTGTTTTGATTTTTTGGTGGTTTCTGACTATTGCCTCTCTCCAGGTTCAGGGTCTTACCTGATGCTTTAGTTTGGGTTTTGTTTTTTCATTTTGAACTGCTTGAGTTAAAGACTTCACTTCATCTTCATTTCCACTTTCACTAAAGCAATACCTGTACAAAGTCAGAAAACCATTGTGAGGTGCATAGCCAGGAATGTCAGTCCTTTACTCCTCCCCCAGCCTGAGAGCCGGTCTCCAGAAACAACCTTTTCCAAAAGCCTTTTTTTTTTTTTTTTTGCGGTACGCGGGCCTCTCACTGTTGCGGCCTCTCCCGTTGCGGAGCACAGGCTCCGGACGCGCAGGCTCAGCGGCCATGGCTCACGGGCCCAGCCGCTCTGCGGCATGTGGGATCTTCCCGTACCGGGGCACGAACCCACATCCCCTGCATCGGCAGGCAGACTCTCAACCACTGCGCCACCAGGGAAGCCCTCAAAAGCCTTTTAAATAGCTTTATAGCTGAGACTTTAAGTCAGTGTGGATTTCTGATAAAAGGTATATTGGACAGTTTCTCAGAAATAGATAATCCCAGAATGTTCAAGTTTGTGTTAACGCCACTGGGGTTTACTGGGCTTGTTCTCTCCCTCTACTCACAGGAGTTTGAGAAACTCTCTGATTTCTTCAAAACTCACTATCGCCTGGAGCTCATGGAGAAGGACCTCTGTGTGAAGGGTTGGAACTGGGGAACAGTGAAGTTTGGTGGTGAGTCTTGCGGAAGATTGAGGTCTGGGGGGAGAAGGAAGGATGAAGGGTTTCAGCCTTTAGCTTGTTTTACTCTCTTACTGCCACTGTTTCTGATCTCCTGTCAGTTTGTAATTTATCATGTACTTGAATCGACGACCAACGGTGCACTGTGCCCAGTCCCTGGGGTACAGTATTAACAAAATAGCCTCAGTGCCCTGTCCTTAGGGAACCTATAGTCTGGCGGGACATAGTTTATGCAGAGCCAAGGGGAGAGCCTGTGGCTCGATACGCCTTTTCCCCCAGGGCAGCTGCTTTCCTTCGACATTGGCGACCAGCCGGTCTTCGAGATACCTCTTAGCAACGTGTCCCAGTGCACCACAGGCAAGAATGAGGTGACCCTGGAATTCCACCAGAATGACGATGCAGAGGTCTCTCTCATGGAGGTGCGCTTCTATGTGCCTCCCACCCAGGAGGATGGTGTGGACCCCGTTGAGGTGAGGCCTTCCCCGGTTGCCCTGGGAGCAGGTGGTGTGGAGCAGGCCCCAGACAGCCCAGGGGTGGGGTCTCTGCTGCTTGATTACCAGTGTGTGCTTTTGCAGGCCTTTGCCCAGAACGTGCTGTCGAAGGCGGATGTGATCCAGGCCACTGGAGACGCCATCTGCATCTTCCGGGAGCTGCAGTGTCTGACTCCCCGAGGCCGTTATGACATCCGTATCTACCCCACCTTTCTGCACCTGCACGGCAAGACCTTTGACTACAAGATCCCCTACACCACAGTGCTGCGTCTCTTTCTGCTGCCCCACAAGGACCAGCGCCAGATGTTTTTTGTGGTAAAAGCAGAAGCCGCTGGGGGTGCATTGCCCTGGGTTTTGCCCGTGTCTTTAGTAGACGTATCTCACCAGTGTTTAGTTAACCAGCACATTCCTGTGGAGCACTGACTGGTGCTGAACTTGGTCGGCTCTTCCTTCCCAGATCAGCCTGGATCCCCCCATCAAGCAGGGCCAAACCCGCTACCACTTCCTCATCCTCCTCTTCTCGAAGGACGAGGACATCTCCTTGACTCTCAACATGAACGAGTGAGTGTGTCCCTGGCCCAGGCCAGAGGCAGGTGTGGCAGCAGAAGGCAGCAGTGCTCGTGACCACGTCTTCCTGTTTGCAGGGAAGAGGTGGAGAAGCGCTTTGAGGGGCGGCTCACCAAGAACATGTCAGGCTCCCTCTATGAGATGGTCAGCCGGGTCATGAAAGCCCTGGTGAACCGCAAGATCACAGTCCCAGGCAACTTCCAAGGGTGAGAGTACAGGCCTGGGCCCGTGGCCTGCTGGGGATGGGCTGTGCCGTGTCTCCGTGGTAAAGCTGTCCTGGGATGGGAATGCAGCTGTTCGGAGGCCTGGTTGGGTTGTGGCTTGATGGCGTCAGTTGCCCCCATCATAGCAGCGTAGTGAGGTTTACTCACTTGAGGGCCTGAGCACACACTGCACCTCCTGCTACTGAGGCGGCACTGACTGAGCTCCCTGCACCTTCCACCAGGCACTCGGGGGCCCAGTGCATCACCTGCTCCTACAAGGCCAGCTCGGGGCTGCTGTACCCACTGGAGCGGGGCTTCATCTACGTCCACAAGCCACCTGTGCACATCCGCTTCGATGAGATCTCCTTTGTCAACTTTGCCCGTGGTACCACCACCACTCGTTCCTTTGACTTTGAAATTGAGACCAAGCAGGGCACTCAGTATACCTTCAGTAGCATTGAGAGGTGAGAGACTCTGCCAGTCACTTCCTGGGCATCCTGGTCCTGACCCAGCCTCGACCGGGAAGGCTGGCATGGCCTGGGGTACTCTCCAGGGTTGGGACTCTGCCCTGACTCCCCAGGCCTCGAGCAGGATTTCTCTTTTGCTTCCTGGAATTTGGTCCTCCTTGGAGTGCTCAGGCCTTGGCAGCCTCTCCATTGCTTTCTTTCTGTAATTAAGAAAAAAGTCGTTCTCCGTATTACGAAAGCTCTGTGTGTTTGGTATTAGCCCTTCTTCTCCTCCACTGCCCCCGTGAGGGAAATGCTATCTCCCTCTTTCCTGGAATGAGCTTTGTGCCCGAGAACACGCAGCTAATGTTTATTGAGTGCTCGCTGTGGGCTAAACGTTTTACAAACATCTTCACACTTAATCCTCATAACAACCCTGAGAAGTATGAGATACAGACCAGTAAAAAGATGAACACGTCCCCTCCCCTTGCATCCTCCCCTTGCTCTGTGCACATTGGTAAATAGGTGCATCTCCCTCCCCACCTTTTATTTCCCAGAACTCTTGAGACCGTGTAGGTTTCCTTCAAGGCTAGTGCCTGACTCTTTCTTCCTGCCGTCTTCCGGGAGTCTCTGAGCTGTTGGGTTGGAATAGTGCGGTCAAGAGCTCCAAGCCCCACGGTCTGTCCTGGCCCATGGGTGTCAGGACAGCATGGGGTCCACCCCTGTGTTGGCCCTGCCTGTCTAGTAATGTGGTGCATCTCTCCTCACAGGGAGGAGTATGGAAAACTGTTTGATTTTGTCAATGCAAAAAAACTCAACATCAAAAACCGAGGATTGAAAGAGGTACCTGTGTGTGTGGAAAGGATGAGCCTCTCTCCT